CACATACATACTCCGTACATTCAGTCTAGTCGTTAATAGTTAATAGTAGAACTGAATAAATCCTACGACCACGGAGAATAACTACGGAGTAGATACTCGTAAAAAGGAGACTCGCCACGCCATGTGGACTGTGGAAACCGGACCTGGAGCCCTTTGGCTTCGACCCGGTGGCTGTGGGATGGGGACTCTGTGGATGGCAAACGGTCACGGCAGACGATTTGTTCGGAGAGACATGCATGTCTTGCCGAGACTAGTCGACGACCAGGAACAGGCCGGATAAAAAGAATCCATAAAAAAGAGGAGAAGACAAGAGGGAGTTTCTGTTGGGGTTCTTATTGGATGTACCTGACCCGGACTACCAGGAATAGAGAGACCAGACTCTTGACCGATTCTCCATTTTTTTTTTTTCTGTCTGTCTTTCTGTCTTTCTTTCCTTTTTATTCAGTGGATGGTCGTGCCATTGCCTGGTTGTATTGCGATTGGGGTTTGGACCTTTTGTGCGAGATGGACGTTGGAGATGGTCCCCACTGGTGAAACTTTTTTTTTTTTTTTTTTTAATTCTGAAAGTGAATTCATTCATTGTTCATGCTGGGGTCCTACTCCGTAAGACTAGTGTAGGTGTCACCCCGACCCCCCCCATCCACGCCATTTTAGGCTGCGAGATTTAAATAAGCCTTGGGCCACTTGCCCGCCGTGCTCCGTTCCCAGCGTCCCTGTGTCTGACAGTCTGAGACAGTCGGATGCAACGGATGATTCTGTAGAAAGGGTGACATTGCTTTTGTGAAACTGTCTCGAGGACCCTTTCTCTGAATCTTCCAGATGATCAGAGAATAATAATACTATAAGTGAATAATAAAGAAGAATGAAAGTCCCGCCAAAAGTGGGGCAACCGGAGCTAATCGATAAGGACTCGCCGCGAGGCCCTCTTGACTTTCCCTCTCTCTCTTTACTCCGTAGTCTCTGCGCTATTTACATACATTCGCCTTTTATTCCCTTGGCTCTCGTCTTTCCCCCGAGACTATTGCTCGATCAGGCATTACACCTGTCTCTAGTCTCGACCTTAGGCCTTTGGAATAAGGTACCGTCAGCTCTCTATCCCTCAAGAAGTCCGACGGCTCTGTCGGCTGACCGAATCACCAGCCCCGGCCTTACGTGATTCCTCCGCCTTGTTTTGCCTCGCTTTCCTATCTCTTTCTGTTTCCAGTATTATTCGTACGTGGTCGTTTTTTCTTTTTTCTCTGGTTTCCTCCTGTCCTGCTTGTCATCTGCTCGGGTTCACCGTGTACCTTTTTGCTGCCCACGCTCGGGGTGGATCGCCCAGTTGTCGTGAATACCTCACCACATCGTTCTAGTCCTTGCTGGACTACCGGGTTACGCGGTCAACGGGTCCCATGGTACAATTGTTACAGTTCTTAGCCGAAAGACACACCACCACCGCCAGAACTCTGTCGCTTGACCCTCTTTTTTCTCCCTGCTGACTCTCGATCTCCTCTTCCTCAAGGGTATCCTCCTTTTCGACCTCTTCTGAGTTCTTCCACCTGCGGGAGCGGAGTTTCGGCGTTCTTGCGCATTGGTCGGGCAAGTGCCCTTTGTATGTACTTCGGACCATACTAGTATACCCCCGGCTCGGTCTACAGCGAACACCATGACCGTCTAAATTCTGGACCGTTGCGGAAACCCGCTGTTTGTCGTCGATATCGCTTTCCTCTTCCCCGGTCGAGGTTGTTAGAACTCGCCGATTTTTGCCGATACTATCCGAACAATATACTGGATTGGGCCTGGAAAGAGCTCGCGTGGTCTTATACCGCAAATTTTGGTCATGGCTGACGTTGGAACGTCTCCTGGAGGAGTATCCCCGGTGAGCGTGAGCCCGGCCTCTTCGACAGGTCAGATCCCATTGGAGCGACCCCCCAAACTTAAAGGGCGGCACAAATTGCTGCAAAGTCTCCAGCGTATCTCGTCTTCCCCGAGCTTGACTCGCCGCGGTCGCTCTGCCTCCACGGGCTACCGCCGCGACGGAAAAGCCTCGTTATCCTGCGTCTCTCTCTCACAATCGTCATACACCCCTTGCCTCGGCAATGGAAGCTCCTCCCAACTCTATGGTGGACTAAATGTCCGCCCCATGACCTCCGGTCAGTCTGCCGGCCAGCCTGAGACCCCCGATGGGAATGCCCGAATCCGCCTCGTTGGGTCCGACTCTCCGAACGGGTCCCAGTACAGGACTGTCCCTTTACCGACGGACATGAGACCGGGATCACGCGGTTCTCCCTTGAGTTGCGATGCCCTGGATATCTCGTCGTCGCCGACCCGCAAGCCGAAGAAGCCATTTGACTTCTGGGGAAGCATGCCGGAGGAACTCCGAATGCTCATCGTCCAGTACCTGACTCCGAAAGAAATTGTTCGCTGCTCTGCCGTCTCTAAAGGCTGGAACAAAATGTGCTACGACGGGCAGCTTTGGTCCAAGGTGGACACGACCGACTACTATCGCGATATCCCCAGCGAGGGTCTGGTGAAGCTGATCGCCGCCGGCGGCCCGTTTGTGCGAGACCTGAACCTCCGAGGCTGTATTCAATTGCGAGACAAGTGGCAGTCCGAGGGCGAGCGTATCACCGACCTGTGCCGCAATGTTGTCAATTTCTCGCTCGAGGGATGTCGCATTGATAAGACCTCGATTCATTACTTCCTGTTACGGAACCCTCGCCTCGAGTACATCAACCTCTCCGGCTTGGCGGGCGTCACCAATTCGGCCATGAAGATCATCGCCCAGTCGTGCCCGCAACTCGAGATCTTGAACGTGTCTTGGTGTACGAGTGTGGACACTACCGGTTTGAAGAGGATCGTGAAGGCCTGCCCCAAGCTGAAGGACCTCCGAGCTAGCGAGATTCGCGGATTCAACGACACGGACTTTGCGCTGGAACTGTTCGAGCGCAATTCCCTGGAACGTTTGATCATGAGCCGCTCGGACTTGACAGACGACTTTCTGAAGGCTCTTGTTCACGGCCTCAACCCGGAAATGGACCTGCTCCTCGAAAGACCCGTCGTGCCTCCCCGTCGCTTCAAGCACCTCGACATCCACCAGTGCCCGGAGTTAACGGATGATGGCATCAAGGCCCTTGCCTTTAACATCCCCGATATCCAAGGTCTCCAGCTTTCTCAGTGCCCCGAGCTAACCGACGAATCTATTATGGCCGTTGTGCAGACCACGCCCCGTCTTACCCACATCGAACTTGAAGACCTTGAAAACCTCACGAACCATTCTCTCATTGAGATTGCCAAGTCGCCTTGTGCCCCGTTTCTTGAACACCTTAACATCAGTTATTGCGAGAGCCTGGGAGATATCGGCATGCTTCAAATCGTCAAGAGCTGCCCCTCTCTTCGCACGGTGGAAATGGACAACACTCGAGTCTCGGATCTTACCCTGATGGAAGCCAGCTATCGTGTCCGGAGGCGTGGCTACGACGAGAACCTTCCCCAGATTGGCCTGCGCCTGGTCGTCTTCGATTGCGCTAATGTTACCTGGGCAGGGGTTAGGGAGGTTTTATCGAGCAACGCCTATATCCCTCGCTCCCGCAAATCTCTCTCATCCATCTCCGTGGTTGCGCAGGCGGTCCTACCCAGCCATAATGGAGGTTCTACGACAATGGTCGCCTCCTCGATCACCCCTCCGCCGCCGCCACCGGTGTATCCCAATGAGATCATTCATCTCAAGTGCTTCTATGGCTGGCAGATGACCGTGGACGAGCACAACAAACGAGTTCTGCGCGGCGATCTTGCCGCCGCAAGCCGACTCGATCGAAAGTGGGCCGACTACATGATCGCCACCGAAGAAGCCGGGGTTACCGGCGCGGGTGCCCGACGGAGACGACGTCGCGCGCGCGAGGCCGAGAGAATTTACAATGCCGACGACGACGATGACGGTGCATTTGGACCCCTTGGTGGCCGACGCAGGCGAGCGCAAAGTGGAGGATCCTGTACGATCATGTAACGGAATCAACCACACACTTCACCTTTTTGTCGATGTTTTTTATTGTGTGCGTTTCCAGCGAAATTCTTCCACGCAAAATTGCAGGCGTCTTGTTTGCCGTCTTGTTTGAGGGTTCAGGAACCCTTACTTGAAAGTGTCCCAGTGACCTCATGCAGCAGAAGAAAACAGAAAAAGAAAAATGAATAAAAAAAAGAAGTCAGCCCAATGCTGGCCATGCTGGAAGGCTGAAAAGCATCGCTCCAGGTCTTTCCTGCGAGCATGCTACGAGATATGACATGACGAATGCTGTTGAAAACAATTTGACATTTTTGCGCTGAGATATACTCATACTTGCCGATGTCTCAACTACCTACCTACCTACCTACCTACCTCCAGACATATTTAATCTGGATTTGGACCTGGATCTTGTTTGTTGCTCTGCCAGAAGCCTATGACTAGGTGTACTTATTTGGAGCCGGATTTATCATGCGATTTATTGACTTCAGGCGAAGGTCGGAAAGCTGCACCGGTTAGTATCAGTATCAAAGTATCAGTATCTTTCATTTCTACCGTTAGAACGGACGGATGCATCGCGAAGCTTGGAGTCTTTTGTTCTTGGGTCTTCGGGCAGGGTCTTGCTTGCTTGCATAGTCGGTCATTTAGATCCAGCATTACGTTTGGTTTGGTTTTCATCTCTTTCCTTTCTCTATCTCTTTCGATGTGCAAGCTTCAGTTTCCTGGTGTCTCTGGTGGCATACTGTGTAACTATATCTACCTTTCTGCGGTAGGAACACAATTTATTGAAATCGAGAAAAGAGAGAAAATATCAATGGTATTTGGGTATCGCAGAAACGACGATAGAGGGAACAAACCCCCTTGGAGTAAGTGTGCTAGGTAGGTTATCTAGATGAAAACAGGAAACAGGCCAGGCCAGAAGAATAAACAAAACCCCATGCTATTGAAAACAACCCAACTCCTGAAAATGCTTGACGCTGGACTGACTCGCTGAAACTTCTTTTTCTTTTCTTTTCTTTTTTCACATCTCAAAGAACCCTCCATCACTCGCGTCGTCATCATCATTGTTCTCATGAACGACCGCCTTGGACGAAGAGCGCTCATTCTTCTTATTCGCAGCAACACCACGACTCGATGTCTTCGTCGTCTTGTCTTTCTTCGAGTCCGTCTTTTTATTATTCGACTTGGCGGCATTGCTCTTGCTCTTCTCCGATTGCCGACCCGAACTCGAACTCTTCTGCTGCTGTCCGCTTCCCTCCTCCCTCGACGAGGACGACGCTAGCTTCCCATCCCGCAGAAGATCCAGCGTCCCGTCCTTCATGCACTTCTCGACCGTATGCCATAACGCCGGCTTATCCGCCACCGTAGCATGAATGGCCTTGAACCCAGCGTCGTCTGCTGAATCCTCCGCGGCGTCGTCTTTCGATGAGGATTCTTTCTCCTTCTTGACCTTCGCGTACAGCGCGATGTATTTCTCCGTGAGAGGGTAGTAGATGGTATAATTGAGGTTGACGCGAGCGATGTGGATCTTCTGTTCTAGTTTTTTCTTTTTGGATGAGGCGGCTGGGTCGGATGATTCGGAGATTGCTTTCTCGCGTCGCAGAAGTCGGTTGACGTCTTTGGTGGCCGTTTTTCGGTCTGATGGGTCGGTTTTGCGTCAGCTTTCAACGTCCCCATTGGCAAAAAGTGATAGGTGATATGATAGAGTGAAAAAAAAAAGGGTAGTTTGTTGGAAGTCCATCAGGCAAATGGTGATTTTTTGTCTCATGGCCCTAGATGGGGGCTCTGAAGTAGCAAATACGTAGAATATGCAAACATCTTCTGGATCTTCCGAACAAACTCGGTCCTCGTTTCTGAGGGACCGGTTTCTGGAACTTTGACTGGGATAGATGGAAAGGGGATAGGAGGGATTGGATTCAAACGTACCCAAAAACCGAACAAAATGATACTTCTTAATCATCTTCGACCGATCCCGACGGTTGTTCTCATCCTCCAGATCCTGCTCGTACCCGGCCAACGCTCGTTCCTGCACGATGCGAGCATCGGCGGGCAGATCGACCTTGTTCAACAGCCGCTTGACATCCCGGATGCGTTTCTTCAGCTCGTTCACCGACGGATAGTTGGTTTCTTTGCGGGGCATCTGTTGTTGGATCTTCTTGCGGGCGGGGGCGGCGTCGTCGGAGCCATCGCGGTCTTTGCGCTTGGGACGGCTGTCGGTGCGATCGCGATAGTTTCTGTCCTTGGTGTGATGGGACACGGGGGATGCCGATCGGGAGTAGTCACGCGGCATGGCGGAAAGGGGAGGGGGGTGAGGATAGGGTTGGGAGGGAGAGAGAGGTTGCTGTCGTGTAATTTGTTTCTGGTTGACTTCCCAAAAAAAAAAAAGAAAAGAAAAAGAAAAAAAGAAAAAAAGGAAAATAGAATATTCGGTCGGATGAAGACTCGGCCCGAAAGTCCCCCAGATTCCTCGTCCGTAGCCAATCAGCGGGCCGGAGGGTCGGTGTTGGCCTGAGGATTAATTACACTTCCTTGACTGGATGCCTGCAGCTACCGTCGCTTTCCCTCGCGACTTCGCTCTACTTTGACGTCTACTTCTACTTTACTTACTTGCTTTTCATAAAGTCACCGTTTGAAGACCCCAGGCTATCCCGGCTTGCTGAATGCAACCCCTTGGACAATTCCTCTGTCATCTGTTACGCCCACTTTCACCGTCCATTTGAAATCCAATCCCGATCCGCAATTGCTTCCGCTGCTTGCTACCTACCATGCGCTCCACTGCCTGAATGATCCAGCTGCGCAAGCTGGTCAGAGGCTGGCGCTACTGCTGCGTTGCCTGACGCATCAGATCAATTCCACTTAAAACCTAAGGCGGCGAACCAGTCAGATTGATTCCGCAGCAGCCCAAACAGGAAGTAAAATATTAATTCCAAGGCCCATTGAAACACACAAACAGGGAAAAAGGCCGGCCTTGCGCGCGTGTAAGTAGGTGCACGCGTATGTAAGTAAATCTGAAACAGAAGCAATCAAACCCACAGACAAAAATAAAAAAAGAATGGAGACGGCCATTCGCTGGTCTCCATCCTCGACCACCGCGGAGCAACGCTTTCTCTCTGTCGACGTGACGGGGAAGGCCTTCCGACTGTGCAAGGTGACCGCGTTCGACGGCCAAACTCTCGATCATGAGGTGCTGTCGACGCACACGAAAGTGCCTGCCTTTCGCGCCTTCGATTGGTCGCCCGTCGACGAGTCGCTCGTGGCGGTGGGCCAGTCGTCCGGCGACGCGACCATCTTGCGCATGAACAGCGAGTCCCAGGAGTCGTTCTCCTTCCCCATTCGCCACCAGCGTTATTGCAATGCCGTTGCCTTCAGCACGCATGGCTTGCTGGCGGCCGGCCTGGATCGCGTGCGGAATGACTTCTGTCTGAATATCTGGGACGTGAGTCAGCGGCTGACCATGAAGGGCGCGAAGGGCTACGTCGAACCGCTGCGGAAGCTCGCCAGCTCTGAACCCATCACAAGCGTGAAGTTCTTCCGGGATCAACCCGACACCTTGGTCACCGGGGTCAAGGGTCAATATGTGCGCATCTATGACCTGCGCGAGGGACCGGGGAACCCGTCGCTGCAGTTCCCTACCCGCTGTGTGCATAATCTGGCCATCGACTGGCTGGATGAGAATTATATCGCCTCGTGCTTGACGTCGAATGATCCGACCATCTGTATCTGGGACCGTCGCGTGGGATCGCGATATACGTCGCCTAGCGTGGGGCCTGCCAATACCCTCGAGACGGGCCAGGCTGGACCGGCGCTGGAGTTTTCGGATGTGGTTGCGCCAAAGTCGTCGATATGGAGTCTTCGGTTTTCGAGGACGAAGAGAGGGTGTCTAGGCGTCTTGGCGAACACGGGTCATTTCAAGACCTACGATATCGCGAAGGAGTATCTGTCCGAGGAATATCGGTCGTCGATGGATGAGACTCTCGGTCAGGGATCTTTGAAAAACTACCCCGAGCAGATCTACACGAAGCATGTTCGCGATGTTTACAGCCCGTTCAATCATTCCTCGCGCAGCTATGCGGAGTCCGAAAGAGTCGTGTCTTTCGATTTTCTCAATATGAGTGCCTCCAACGAGCCCAGCGCCATCACGTTATCCGGAAACGGTCAGATCAGCATCGCGACGGCGAAACCGCCCCCGCCCCCGGTTCGTCTATCTTCGCAAGGCTCGCTGATCTATGGGAGTTCCGACGACGAATCGGATTTCAGAGTCATAGGCCCTCTGTCAAGTCCGGGATCAAGCATCTCAGAGGTGGTTGAAAGCCTCCAGGACCGCATCTTGCCAGACCCAAACAAAGCCGGAGATATGTCTCGTGAGAGTCGCCTAGTAGCCCCGGGAAAGAATTCTACAAAACCGCTGTCAAGTCGGGAAGCGCGCGAGCGTGCCCTGTCACTGGGGGCGGCGGGCGAGCCGCTAACGGCTGAGGAAGCGTTGACGCTGCTCACTGTGAACCGGATGCGGTGCAAGGAAGGATATCTATTTGACGATTCGCGCAATAAGAGGATAGTGGCGGATGATCCCTGCCTTCCCGGGTTCTGGGATTGGATCCAACGTGAGTGTGGTATTATCATAATAACGATGAGTAGTGCTGATCTTACTATTCAGGGGCACGTTCCGACTCTTCTAACGATTCAATGGTTATGAATGACTTGGATTTGAGTTATATCGGTGTGTGGGATATATGGAATAATGATTTAGGTAAGGTTCACGATCGACGTAGTTCATCAGTGATCGATATCACTGACTCTTCAAAGGCGAGAGTCTTGAGAATCGCAGAGTTGGCCCCGACAGTAGCTCCGATGTGAGTGAGACTGTTGTGGATCTGGTCCGAGAGACACTACACCTGCCTGAAACCAAGGGCTGCGAAACAGATTATGCAGAGCACCGCCGGCTTTGCCTACGGCTTTGTGGGGCAGCGCAATCCCACCGGGAATTGGAGGACACGGTGAAGACATTAGCGGCCGAGAATCAGCACACCAAAGCGGCTGCCCTTGCTGTCTTCCAGGACGAAGCCAAACTGGCCTATCTGGCGCTGCGCAGTCATTCGCCTACCCAGGCCCATAAGCTGCTTGCCATGGCGATTGCGGGCGCCGCTAAAGGTGACACAGACTCGGACTGGGAGGACACCTGCGCCGAGATTGCCAAAGAGCTCACGGATCCCTATGCACGGGCTATCCTGGCACTGGTGAGCAAGGGAGACTGGAAGTCCGTCATTCAAGAAACGACGCTACCTCTAAAGTATCGCATCGAGGTGGCCTTGCGGTGGCTACCCGACGACGAACTCACGCCCTACCTAAACGAAACGACAGAAGAAGCCATCCGACAAGGTGACATCGAAGGCATCGTTCTCACCGGTCTCAGCCATTCCGCCATGGACCTCTTCCAATCATACATCAACAAATTCAACGATGTCCAAACCCCCGTCCTGGCCATGAGCCACAGCGTCCCGCGCTTCATCAATAACCACCCGAACCGCTCCCGCTTCGAAACCTGGCGCGAAACCTACCGCTGGCAAATCAACTCCTGGAAACTCCAACTCGAGCGCGCCCGATTCGACGTCGGATCCCGTAAATTCGCCGTCACCTGGGACGGACAGAAATTGATCGAGCCGCCCCGACAACAAGTCAGCCTTACCTGCAACTACTGCACGCGCCCTCTCACCCAGCACGACGCCTCCTCCCAACTCTCCCCCTCGGCCACGGGCGAAGTCGTCCACCCCACCCCTGGAAACCCCCTCGGGACAGCCGCCATGTCCGGCATGATCTGTCCCCGCTGCGGTCGACACATGCCTCGCTGCGGTGTCTGCACCCTGTGGTTGGGATCACCCGATCCCATGTCCAAGGCCTCCATTGCAGCTGATGCCGGACAGGAGCCGCGTCGACCCACCGAGACAGAGCTGATGCGTCGTTTCATCGTGTTCTGCATAAACTGCAACCATGGATTCCATGCACATCATGCACGAGAGTGGTTCGCCAAACATAAAGTCTGTCCAGTTGCGGAATGTAGCTGTATTTGTGATCGGTAGTGATGGTGGGATGGATACTGAGGTTTGTGGGCTATAGAATCGTCTTTCCTTTGGTTTATATTTAATGTATCTGCTTCTGTTCTTGTTTTTATTTTTCTCTTATGTTGGATTGTTGGCATGCGTTGTCTTGTGTTCGGTTTTTGGTTTTTTTGTTGATGTAGCGAGGTAGGGTGGGATCTGGTTTTTCTTTTGATATACCCAGTTTTTAGCAGGTAATAGGAAGGGGACTTGAAGTCTCTTTTTCATTTTAAAGACAGAAGGATCGTAGAGGGTTTAGGTGCCTATGTATTCCGCCGTATACGTACCTCTTAGTGCCATTTTCCGTATGTGGCACCTGAGAGGACCTCTTTCGTCCAAAAGAACGTACAGAGTAACATAATCTACAACGTTCGTTCAGAAAAGGAAGCGATATCATGAGGAATATCTTTGATCCGAATAGCTGCATAGTAATTTCGGAAATTTCGGAAAACGCAGGCCGCAGAGTGTATCTAGTTATTCATATGCCTATGAAAGAAACAGCAAAAATATATGAGCTAGTCAAAGCTCATTAAAGTTTACCAATCATTTGTATTAAGCTACGTTCACAGATACCTCAGGTTGATATTTGTAGTCTGCCACGTGATAACCCTTGACTTCTACGGACAAACACCCGGGGAGACTTCATCCTTCCTATACAACACGCATCATGTCAATGAAGTAGCTGGATTCATCATCGATTAATTTGATGATATATCCAGCCTTCGAGTCCTAGATCTTTCATGTCTGAGTAATAAGTGATGTTGGACCCGACCGAAAGCAGAAAAAAAGATATAAAGACGTCGCTTTTACCCTACATGATAATATGGAAGTCCCTACAGTAGCGCCACAGCAGGAGCGATCCCCGCCTCATCCTGCTACGAGGCCAGCTCCACACAGGACCAAAAAGTACGTTCCCCCAACCCCCAAGGGACAGGTTCGTAGGGGAAATGTCGTAGGGGAAATGTGACCGTGTGATCGGTTTGCGGCCAAAAACAAACACCCCTGTCAATATCGTTGGCAGCTTTGACAACCACATCAGCAATCTATCGTTTCAGCTCCGATCCACTGCGCTAACTAACCCGCATACAGAGCCCTCTGCTTACGATCGAAACAAGCAATATATTCATCTGGCTAATAAAATTACGGCGCTAGGATTGTCTTGCAGTTCAGCTTGAACCATGGCTGTTCAGTTCGTTGGGTTTTGAGGAACCCCCTCTTCTCCCGAATCATGCATTGTAGATTGAGGCTCGATCGGCGACCATCGGGGACTGTTGGCCACAGGGTGGTTGTGGTCGGTTTGCATTGCTAGGGAATAAGAGGGGTGATGTTCTAGGTCTGGGCTTTCTCTTCATCGTCATCTTTCTTTATTCTCTTGTTGTCGTGAAAGCAGAGCATTGGCTGTCTTTGTTATTCCAGCCCTCAAAAAACAGCCACTAGCACTTCGAAAAATATGGACGAACGAGCGCCGAACGAGCAACTGGTCAGTGACGGAGGATCCGATCCAGGAACTTCTTCTCCTACTGTCGAACGACAGGCCTATACTGAAAGCGTCGATGGCCAGAACGAGACGACGAGCGCCAATCGGAAGATTTATCGGCTCATGAAGACTCCCTAAACACCAGGGACGGATCGAAGGATACTGGCAAAGTCTTGAACGAAAAAGCCAATGAGGATCTTTTGAATGCCGCAAGAAATGGAGAATCAAAGGGTGTCGAAAGCGCTCTTCGAGAAGGGGCAGATATCGAGTCCAGGAGTGGGATCGGTGAAACTGCGCTGCACTTGGCTTCAAGATGTGGCCATTATGATGTGGTAAAATATCTTCTCGATAAAGGAGCCAATGTTCAAATCAAAGACCATGACGGATGGACGCCGTTATACGGGGCGGTTTTTGGCAACTACGAAAATATTGCTAGGCTTCTTATTGGATCTGGATCTGATGTTGATTCATCCACTAACTACGGGGCGAGGTCCCTTATGATGGCAAGTGAAGACGGGCTGGGCCAATTGTCAGTCTACTACTCGAGAATCGTGCTAGTATTGATGCCCAAAACAAAGCAGGGTGGACAGCATTGCACTTTGCGACACGTTATCGGGATTCTGGGATCGTGCAAATGCTTCTTTCCCATACTCCTCAACTTGATGTCAACATTGTAGATGGAGATGGTTGGTCAGCATTGCATAAAGTAGTTACCCTATAATGATTTTGAAGAAGATGGGAGGGCATTGCAGAAGAACTTATCAAAAAAGGGGCAAATTCTATTGCCACGCAAGATGACCAGCAAACGCCTCTTCACAAGGCCAGTGATAAGGGATATCCTGGTGTGGTAAGACAGCTTCTGAAGCATGAGGATCCCATGGTGGATGCAATCGACCGAGACGGTTGGACAGCCCTTCATTATGCAAGCAGAAACGGAGATAGGGAAACCGTTGGCCTTCTCCTGGGGAAAGGGGCGGACTACAAATTGAAAGTGCCTGGCACCGAACAAAGCGTGTTAGCTTTAGCAGTTTCCGCCCTTTCTACTGCTTGGGCCGAAAACAGGACTCCGATCGAGAATGAGGCTTTGGAAAAGAATGAGGACAAAGCCGAAACTTTTGACTCCGCCGAAAAAGCAGTAAGCCTGAACGCAATTAAAACAACCATAGTTGAGAAACAACTCGTTCTCAGGCAACTTGAGATACAGCAAGATGACAAGGTGAAAGAACTTGACCGGCTGGTAAATCTGATGGACATGACAGAGTCTGAGAAAGAGGATACCAAGCTTATCTGGTACGCGGCAAGACAAGAATATCATGCTAGAGTATGTGAGGTATTGTTCAACAGAGAACCCTTGCTACAAAGCGAGGGCAGCCCCGAAAGAACTCCCTTGCAACTCGCCGCATATCACGGAAAGCATGCCGTTGTTTGGTGGCTCCTCAAAACTACACCGGACAGCAAAGCAGCAAAAACGGACCGAGAACGAGCCATAAAAGTAGTCGAGAAACAAAACAAGAGTCCATCAATCAATTGAAAAGATCAGAAAGAACCAGAATCTTACCTCTTACCCACAAAAAAATGAAAAAGAGACTGGTTCAATGGTGAGAGATAATGAAAATGTGGACACCTCAATCTACGGTACCAAAAAGCCGTCGAAGGGAAAAGGGACACGAGAACAGCATCAGCTTAACCTTGACTTGTAGGATGAAGAATCCGGGTTCAGGGCCACGATCAATATGTTGAAAGATCCCCCTCCAGTCGCGGGCATGGCGGATTCATACAAACTCGACTCAGGACCGTCTTTGGGGCTCTCAGATCCTTTGGTCAACAACCCTGAAGCCACTATGGTTGACTTTTACCAACGTGATGGACGTGTGGATTTTCTCCGACGGTCGTACCCTCTTCGGGAAATGAACAAGCCTGCTTCTGGGTCGAAAGAAGGTGATAATTCTGGTCCTACTAAATCTCAAAATCACCCCTCTCTTTCGGCACTCGGTAAGACAGGCTCATCTGGAAATGTAGATTTCCCTAATTTGAAAGAAGAAAGTGGCCGTGATTACAGTGGACGTCTTTCTCAACTCTTGTTCAGGAAGTCTCGGCGCTCTTCGGAAACTATTGTTTGAAATGGGGACATATTCAATCATATACTTCGTTATACTTTGTGTCTTTCACTAGATGCATAATCTCTAGTATCCGGTTGGGTCTTTGTATTCTCAGGTGTAAAACCAAGGAGCTATCAGTAGACGTACCTATGCATGTATCTCTTTCCATCGAGATTATGTGCAGCACCGCCGTTCTTTTCCTTCTACTTATAGTACTCCTCGATCCAAGTTTTAATATGCGCCACCTCATTATCAACCACCTTCTTGACCCCATCATTCGCAGCATAGCTCGTCATGTACAGATCCGAGCAGTGGAAACCACCCGGAATAACCTGCACCGGCGCGGCAGCCGTGCTCTCTAGCGGACCACCGGGACGGAAGCGAGATGAAACGCCCGAGTCAAGCCAGGGATCGTATTGACTAGGACATCGATATCAGTGATCATGAACTCTTTCTAAACCGAAGCAAACAGCACCAAGCCCAACCAAATGAAGTCTAAAAAAAAGGGGGTCAGAGGAAGGAATAAACTCACCCATTCGTCCAAATCAATCTCGACGTATTCGTCCTCGACCAACCTCCCGTGTAGGCGTTCACGGTGCCGGTGTTCTTTCCCTTCGCGCTGCCGTACGTGTAGCCGTTCACTGTGGGGAAGAAGAGTGGGCACTGTCGTTGCCAGTATTCTGCGCTGATGGTGCGAGGAACAATGGTGGTTTTGTCTTTGGGGGCGCCGCTAGTTAGAAGCGAGTAGGTTAGCATGGATCAATACCCTAGGTTCCTTTCATGATACAGGAATTTCTTTCGCATAGGCAGCAATTGAGGTTAAGTAGGTGGGTACACTTACTCCTGCCAGTAGAAAAAGGGCTCGTTACAGAGGAACCATTGCCATTGGCGATCCACGGCGTTCGATACGGAGGTATCTGTGAAGAGCGGGCTGGAGGCGTTGTGTGTGTCGAAGCAGGCGATGCTTAGTTCGTCTTTCCAGTAGCCGTAGTCGGAGCAGTCTGCATAGAGGGCGTGGTGTCAGATATCTTCGTCAATGGGTACTATGACTCAGAGAATGCGTAGAGGGAATGGCATACAGCCAGGAAGGGCAATTTCATTGAACCATTTGGCGTAGCCTGCGAGGGCTTTTTGGAGGCCGACGCCCTCTGGTCCAGGGACGATTGATGAGTTGGCTTTGACGTTCTACATGGTGGATTAATTTTGATGGTTTCACACTTGATAGGGGGGAAGGGGCAAAAACACAAGGGGAAATCTCACCTCAATTTCATCGCAAAATTCATAGAAGTTAGAATGCCCGGTAATGAAGCTGTTGCTTTGCCATGTCCACGGACCGATGGGGAATATCCTATAGTTAACTGAATTAGTCTTCTATTCGTATCGCATATTCTGTCGGGGTGACTTACGCAGCAAAGTCATCGTAATGTTCCAGATCACCAAGCCCAAACAATTCCTTTACGGCTTGTTTCTCTTTGGGGGCGCCGTATTGTCCAAGGCCGTCGATGTAGTTGGCGACCAACGAGACGTCTTTGCTGCAGTTCTGGGGCATACCCTCTCGGACAGGCTCGAAGTATTGCCACTTCGTGCGTTAGACTAATTCATTGTATATTATCTGGCAGGAATCTACTCACAAAGTCGTAGATAGCCTCCACAGGGGCACTGGTCGCATGGTAAGCCCAGAAGGTGCCGGGGGCAGTTGCTTCGGTCCAAGCTGCCAGAGCACCACTGTATGATCCTCCGACAAAGACCCAAGGCTAAATTTTGAAGTCCGACATTAGTCTAAAGCCAATTATAGTATGTGAAGAAAATGGGATTGTCTCACAGCTCTCTGCGCATTGCTGCGAGTTGAATTGTCAAACGGCAACCGCACGGTGTTCGCAAAATGGGTAAAGTCCAGAATGGATTGCTCCAGTGTTAAGTACTGCAGAGTTTCCGCTGTGAGGTTCTTATAGGGAGAAGAGCCACCCCAGTAACGATCTAAGAATGTTTTTTTAGTTGTTTGCCGCCGCATGCTTCAGATTCGGAGGGCGAGGTCAACTCACGTTCGACCAGAACGATAGCCGCCTGGATTTCCTGTGCGTAATGTCCGGTCAAGGTTTTATTGGTGAGATATCCCTGGTATCCATCGGCCGCGACTTCACCGGGGGTAAAAAGAATCACCTACGATTCGTATTATTAGGAGTGAACTGCATATACAGGAAAGAAAATGATGCAAAAAGTTCAATTCACCGGCGATCCAGGTCCACCCCAAAAGTCCGTGCTCCACCAATATCTCTGCGAAAAAGTGCCCTTTGAAGGATCATGGTGATCCAGCTGCTGCTGAAACACTCCCAGGGAGGAGGTCGACTGGAGCGAGACGGGTCCAGGAACGGGTTCAGGGACCGGGATAGGGGGACGAACTGCTTGAGCAATCGAGGCCCAGGAGGTCACCAACGCCGCCAAACGAACAGCCGAGAGAAACCGCATGATAGCGAGCTGTCTGTAGAGCAATTGATGAGAGAGGGGGGTAAAGAAAGGAGGAAAACCGATAGCGCGGGGTGAAGGACAGGGGACATTTAAATAAGGGCCACGGGGTGTTTGTGAATGTTTCTTAAATTAAGACATGGTGTGAATAGAAAAAGGAGCCTAGCTGCTCCCTCCCCCTCCCCCTCCCCCTCATTGCTATTCTAATCTACAGCAGGAAGAAGCCCTATATTCTGCAGGCCTTAACGGAGGCCGAAGACGCGACGGTGCCGTGTCATGCCCGTCGGAGAGCGTCGGGCGAGACTAAGCGATGCAGCTGGCGCAGAGGCATCGGATGGAAAGACGGATTTAGGTGCATAGTTAGAGGCCCGACTAGAGACTAGAGGCTGCATTCAGGTTGGATTCGGGCTGATCTTGTTGGTGAATTGGCCTGCAGGAACACCGCTGACTCTTGGTCAGCAAGATAACACCATCTTAGTACAATGGACGGGCCCACTTGATTAACGTCGAAGCTTCAATTCAACTATTCAAGCAATTCCACGAGAGTCAAGTATCCACAAGACAGTTTCCGATAGAAACAATCCTTATTTGTTAGGATTTAGAAAGAAAGAAAGAAAGAAAGAAAGAGGTGCTTTGGGTCAATTTCGCATTCCATTTTGGCAGGCAAGCGTCTTTGTTACTAGCAGATCTATCGCTTGTCAATAGGTGTAGCCAGATAGAGAGATTTCCAAGTGTGCACTCATGAAGGAAGATGAATTTCTTCCAACAAGAGATGGCTCGAGACAGTTCATGACTGTTAATTGACTTGTTTGTCGGCGGAGAAATGACACCTTCCTATTGCGGTTAGCCGGGTCTCTTTGGAGAGACTCCTCCTGGTGTTCGACGAACGGAATATCCAGGCATCTTCGGAGAGGAGTAGGCTGTCAATTGATGCTGACCAAAAACTGTGAAATAATGTATCCAAATATTTAGAGAAGGAAGCCAAAATGGAGACTCCGGCATACATCAAAGGCCTAGAGCCACATGCCCTTTCGGGCCTAGTGCCACCGATCAGTCCCTGATGATGTCAAAATTGAATGTCAACAATTTTCCACCTTCACGTCGACGCGCAGCTGTCCAGGTATGTTCCGTTCCCTTGTCTACGTCTCTTTGTCAATTCACGCTGTTTTGGCTTTAGAATCAAACGACGCTGACCCCCCTTATGATTCATTGATACTAATGAGTCACATCTGCAGGCTGACACCCAACGCCACCTTAGCTTCTGATGATCCGGCCTCTATATCAACTACGACCGTTACAACTTAACCATATCTCCATTCGACTACGGCTCTTTTTCCAGGCCCCAACTCCTCCACGCTACTTTTCTCCTATACCCACCCTATCTCACCTACAAACCTACGCCGCACACACAATGTCTCAACCCCGCAACGCCAAAGGCAAAGGCAAAGGCGGACGCGACATGCTCGTCTCCAAAGCCCTGAGCCACCTCCTCCGGCATGCAGCAGAAAAAGAAGGCGTCAAGATGGATAGCCAGGGATACGCCAACGTGGCGGACGTGGTATGCGCCCGTTGCCCTCTGTGAGAGAAGAAAATGAGGGGTCAAAAAGAGAGACGTTAACCTAATCGCGCATTCGCCGTGGTCCCACAGCTCGCATGGAGAAAAATCAAATCGTTGCAAACCACTTTCCCGGAGATCTTGAACGCGGTCTCTTCGTCGGATAAGAAGCGCTTTGCGCTACTACATATCCCCTCCGCTGAGGTGGAACGCGATGCCCCTGCTACGACGACAACGACAGAATCGGTACACGAACAAGATGCGATTACGTTAGATCAGAACACGGCGGTCCCTACGACTAGTGCGGCGCAGGAAACGGCTACGGCGACGGCGCTGGCTGTGCAGGATCTGAATCCTTCCCACTTTTTGATTCGCGCAACCCAGGGTCACAGCATCAAGAGCGTCGAAGCTGCGTCCCTGCTAAAGAAGATCTCTCTAGAGGATAAATCGAAATTACCGACAACAGTGGTGCATGGAACGTTCCACGCTGCCTGGCCGGCAATCTTGAAATCGGGCGGACTGCGATGTATGGGACGCAACCAGGTGCACTTTGCGACAGGGCCAGCGCTGGATACTGTGCTGTCTGCGCAAACCGAGGGTCAGACGCAACAAAATGAGCCGCAGGTGATTTCGGGGATGCGGCGAGATGCCCAGATTCTGATCTACATCAATATTGAGAAAGCGCTGGCTGCCGGGTGTCCATTCTGGCGCAGTGAGAATGATGTCATCCTTAGTGAAGGGTTGTCAAGTGATAGCGGAGACGACCAGCTCGTTCCGTTGGAGTTCTTTGACGTTGTAGTGGAGCGGAAACGGGGCATGGGGAAGATCTGGGAGAATGGACAGGTACTGAAGGAGCTGCCGGCTGATTTGACCAAGAGGAACCCCAAGGGAAATGTAGGGAAGGGGAAGAACTGAGGATGGATCTGTCTGTATACCCAGTAGTTACAATTTACATAGTCGCTCTAGATCTGCGGATATGTACAAAGCTCCTTGATCTTCACTCCATGAGCCCTGTAGGACCCACCAATTTCTCGAATATTCTGTATACGGTAGTACCACAGATAGTCTCGACGCTCAGCAATGACGATATCAGTGCCAATGTCAATTGTCCAGACCATCGTTGCATGACATGTCGACCGATAAATCCCGAGTCGACTGACAGGGCGCCTCTCTAGCCCTAAGCCCTATGCTGCCTCCGGATTGGGCATCGCTGCCAAGATGGCACATCCCGGCGACCGTAGGCCATGCGCAGCCAATCACCCGGCGGTGCTGACTATTCGACCGACCACGGGCCGAAGCGGCTTCAAACTCACCTCAACTCCAAACTCCCTCTCCAAGTCCTCATCCCCCCCCCTCTTGACCGCCGTCATTACATCAACCACCTGGACAATGTTCCTTCAACGCACAGCCTTCGCCCTTGCGAGGCGCACTCCTGCCCGGGCCTTCGCTGCTCGCCCGTTCTCCTCCTCCGTCGTCCGCTGTACGTGCTCCCAAACCGTTCCAACCCACGACCGCTTCTTCCTATGACAACAAGACGCGGTCCCCCCCCCCACGACTCAATTGGATCCCAATGCCAATCATATCGAACATCATACCTTGTCTGGCGGACCTGCGGCTAACCATTTGTTTTGTGTGCAGGCAACAAGGCCAAGTACGGAGTTGAGAAGGATGGCAAGATCCTTCCTTTCGAAGGTCGGTAGCTCACCTGAGAGATGTTCCACACCCAATTGCTCCTCCGCAGAACTCGTTCGAGGTCGTTGTGTGGGACTAGCCACTTTGGAGGAGGCTCGTGTCGCGCGGAGTCTCCAATGAACCCGGACAAACCGACCTCATCCGATGCGTCGACCACCGTCAAGAACCATGCTGATTGTCTTTCATTGGAACAGAGATCAAGACTGAGGATGACCTCGTTCCCCCCGGTGCCAAGTCCGGAACCGTTCCCACCGACGTTGAGCACGCCACCGGTCTCGAGCGTCTGGAACTTATCGGAAAGATGCAGGGCATTGACATCTTCGACATGAGGCCCCTGGATGCCTCCCGCAAGGGTACATATATATCCCTTTCTTCCGAAGCAGCTCCAGTGCCTACTGGATTCCTGAGAACCAGAGGAACTGTATTGTCTACGAATTGCACATGAAAGCTAACCGCGCGTTTTGATTCTCTTTCCAGGAACCATTGACAACCCCATCGTTGTCAACGGTGCTGGTGACGAGCAGTACGCCGGTTGCACTGGCTACCCTGCCGACTCTCACCAGGTCAACTGGCTGACGGTAAGTCGAATGGCGTGATTCTCGTCTTCCGAAGCGCGGCGGCTTATTCTTCCTTTCTAGGTGTCCCGTGACCGTCCTCTCGAGCGCTGCGGCGAGTGTGGTAACGTCGTCAAGCTGAACTACATCGGCCCCGATGAGGACCCCCACGCCCGTGAGTCTAATCTCTCTTGCCTACAGCCTTGATGTTTTTGCTAATTTGATTCTCAATAGACGACCACGGTCACGGCCACGGCCACCCCGCTCCCGAGGAGCCCAAGACCTTCGCTGACTACGTCAAGCCCGAGTACTGGTACCGGTAAATCATCTATGTGATGTTGCGACGAATAATAAAAGGGGACGCGCGGGGGGTATGTGTTTGAAAGGAAGGAAATAGAGAATTCAAGACAATTGAAGCGCAAAAAGAAAAGGAAGGGAAATGTAAAAAACACACCCAAAAAGGGGAGCAAGCAGTTATCTACCTTTTCTAATCGCCGGCCTTTATATATGGATGTTTCTTTTTTTTGTTTCCTTCATATTGTCTTGAATTCCTGGGTCCTCTTGTGTGTGACATGTGCTGTGTTGATTGAATCCGGGCATTTTCTTGTCTTGTCTCTTGTAGAATAGTCGAGTTGAAATGGGGAGTGACTGATGTTTTGTTCCTTTTCTTTTTCTATCTCTTTTCCCATGATTTCGTATCCTTTACTCGCTACTCCGTACATGAAGTTCAATAGTCACAAACGTGGCATGACATGAATGACCATTCCCTCTCCGCCGATAGGATAAACATGGGTGGCATGATACCATCCTTCCGGATCCCGGAACCAACCGCGTCGGCATCAGAGATGATGTCACGTGCCATGTCTTTTCTTCGCCTATACTGCATCTCCTGCGATTAATTCAAACAATATTCAAGCTCCTCGAAATGTATATCGAGACTCTAATAACTAGCTAGCTAGTTGACATGCAAATGAGCATGCACATGAAAACAAACACAGGTCCTGGTTAGTGATGGACATGACAGCCCCCAGCCCGGTTACATTGCATTATTGCATTGCAATACAATCCATGGCAATTTACCCGAAAACCTTCCTCGGGACGAGGCCGGACCTAGATCTTTGACATATTGACTAACTGGTAACTAACTAATAAGTTGACTACTATTTGGCATCCAATGGTCAAGTGATATACGCAAGTGCCTGCTCGGCCATATCCGTGAAATAGGCCTAGCGCCGGAGAAGGAGCATACTTACATGCACCGGTAGTTATGGGGGCCTTTGGGGCTTACACGGATAATATAGTTAAATTATCATGCAGGGATGGATGATGTGGCGCAGGTTCAATCTTATGGACTGTGGCTGTCTATGTCCCATACAGAAAACCTGGGAGGTGCCCATGGCCCATGCATAAGGCAGTCCCGGGGAGGAGTGAGCACTAGGTAGTGCATCCTACGGGGAACGAAGTCCCATTATGGGGGCGGTTTATTCATTTTGCGATTCCAAGAGAACCCCCTGCTTATGGTATTTGGAATAAATATTGGCGGTCAGGATTCGATAGTAAGATGACATTGACATTTCTTGGTATTGTCTGAAAAATTCAGTAGCTTCCGGTAGGTTGATTGAGCTAAATTATCATGTTGACATGGAAAAAATGAATGCATGCATCTACTTTCGTAGAAGGGAAGATTGATTTTTGCTGTATAGGAATATTTTGAGTGTAGCGGTATTCTATAGAATACTGCTAGTGTGACGATATTATAACGTCTTTTGATGATTGTGCAGGGTGATGCGATGACGAGAGTCGTACCGCTACCCTGGCTGTCGCTGTATATATAGATGTGACAATCACATGCTTATATATTGTACTGTACAGCATCTCTATCACTACAATGTGTAGAGATGGATTACCGTTTGAACCGACGAAGTTCAAAGTACCGCAAAGGTGGGTAGACGAGAGCTGTCCAGGTGAATCCGACGTAGACTCCCATCTATAAAATTGAACGATGCTGGTTAGCAAATGTCGCGCTTTCTCATGTCCAATCAAGGCATGGTTTTGAGGTAGAAATTTAGCTTACGTCCGCGCCATAATCACCCACCAAGCGAGCAATAGGGCCTATATACCAGACCTGCGCCATACAGAGGATCGCGCCGGCCCATCCAATCAAGAACGCGATGAACGCGGCAATACCCACTGGGAGCTTGGATGGATCACACCACACGTGCCAGTTGTATCCAGTGCGGAGGCGGAAGATGAAGCGCTCTTCCAGGATGATAGCGATCCAGATGGCGACCCAGTAGCCCATGAGGGCGAGGAAGTTGGTGAAGATCTCAGAGAGGTATCCGCGGCCGGCAAGCGCGCAGACGGTGTAGATCACGACGCCGACAGTGTTCCAGATGGCGCGCGGGACTTTCTCAGCGTATCGGCCGAGGATTTGGAAGTCAACGCTGGACGAATAAGTCGGGGCAATGGTGTTGGCGATGAGTCCCAAAGCGACGATGACCGAGCAGAACTTGCCGAACCCGTGGAGCGGCCCGAAACCTTCAACTATGAGCGCTCCGGCTCCGTTGTTGTAGGCTGCTTCGTACTCCGGATGGGAGGGAATGCCGGATGCGAGTCCAATTCCACACAGGAAAGCCATGGTAAATGAGGCCAGGAGGCCGAGAAGCGAAAGCGAGAAAAGGGTAACTCGGGATGTTTTTTCGGGATAGTAGACGAAGAAATCGGCGGCCAGTGGTGCATAGGTGATAGCGGCGCTCAGACAGATTGAAAAGAACGACAGTCTGAAGACACAAGAAACGCGTTTGGTTAGAGAACAGAACGTCCAAGAGTCAACAGGCGTCTAGATCATACCTATTTCCAGCGAGTGTGCGAGTGTCTCCCTGAGACGCAGTGGACAGGTCGAATTTCACCGAGGACACGCCGAATAATACGCAAACAACGATGAGCTGAGGAAGTAAGGCAAATCTTGGTGATATTAGCAGCTGATGTGACTCGTTTTGGGTGTAAGCTGAGCTCACCGTTCGTAAACATGGAATATTTCAATGCCAAATGTGGCGATTGCCCAACTTATCACAGCAATGATAACAATTCCTATCGTATGTTAGTCACCGGAACATATGGTATCTGTGATTTCTGGGAGCCTTACCGACGGCGACCGACATGCTTCCATTCGGAGACACGGCAGATAGAATTTGCCCACCAACGACACAGTCGATCAGGCTGTACCCGATCATCTGAATCAGGTTCAGGATAACGACCACTTTACTCGGCCACCAGCCCATTGCATACCGACCAAATACCTATCCCACGATTAGATCATCTCCAGCTCCCGAATGAGAACCGCATGAGTCACATACCATGGTCCGGATTCCAGATATCGGGCCCCATGTAGCCATCCAAGAAGCGACCAAGGCTCCGACAAAAGCACCAAAAACTCCGCAAAGAGCCGAGTCCAAGAAGCTAAGGCCGTAGACCACAGGCCCCAGCATTCCAAGGGTTATATTGTTGGCCGCCAGATTGATCGATACCCACAACAAGAGCGCCTGCAGGTAGGACACCCAGGAGAGTTTCTTCATGCGTTCATCCTCCCGCACTCGCTCTATTCCTCTAGCTTCCAGATTATATCCAACCAGGCGCTGTTCGAATTTCTTCGCATATCTCGCCAGGCGTGAAGGTCGATGCGAGCCATTCGCCACAGAGGCACCGTTCCCATCTTCATGGTCGGGGTCGTGAGGAGACGGCTGCTCCACGGTGTAAACTTCCTTGGAAGACATGGCTAGGGCGGAGACAGGGTTTTCCGAGGACATGCTGGAGCGTTTCAGTCAGTATTGCCACCGAAGGGGGAAGGAGGAACAGAAGCGCGCATGAGTCCTTTCGCTGGAATTATCCAGATCAAGTTCAACCGTATATTCTCAGAACGACAGCCTCCGTCGCACAGAAGAACTCAAGCAGCACACCGGTTGTAGAGCGATGAGCTGGCCCAAGCCATGCGCGACATGCGGTTGCCGAACACCGGTCTTCATGCAGGCAGATTACCTAGATACCTTGATCGACAGACAAAACCACACTACTCGTCTTCATGATAGCCATCCCTTGCATGGGAAGTAAGTGAGCAGCAGGTGGGAGAGGTGTACTCGAGAAGATGCTGCTTCCGTATTGCGATTGGAATGCAGGAGTCGCAACCTAGATGGATGAAGTCCAAATTTCACGTCAGTCAAATGTTCTTTTTGGATTCTAATTTTACTAGAAAATCCATGGGGTCTCTTCACCTAGACCAGATTCAGGCAGAGAAGGGCAATTGCAGACCATACAATGACTCTTGACAGGGGAGAATCAAAAAGCAAAACGAAATCCACCGGGATACGAAGAAAAGAAAAGAAAAAAATAATTAACGGGAAAGTTTGGCGGGGAATACAGTTGGGATCGAGACCCCCGCCGACTTCGGTGCGCTGCGCCAATGAGTTGGACCCGCCACCCCGTCAGCAACGGAAAAGGAAGTATCCAGTTGTACGTGGGGTAGAAGGGACTCCGCTGCTACAGAACGTCAGGCTACTCGTGGCACGTCAACGAAGGGACTGTCTCTTGTCGCCCTGCAAGCTTTTCATATTGGTAGTAGGCTTTAACAACACGCGCTGGAAGAGCTGGAAAAACCGCAAATGGTATACTCCGGTTGTAGGTAGGATACAAGAAAGAAACGAAACATCAACTCCGTAACTCGTCGCTGAATCTTTGCAAATTGTGCCGAAATCACGCGGGGTTGCAGAAGACAAGAAAAAGATAAGGACGAAAAAAATAACCAAAAAGAGTTCCAGTAGAAGGGAGTAAGAAAAATCAACAAAATAGAAGTGAGCACGAAGCAGCGCCAGAACGCGAATCTGACGGTCAGGGGGAATCGAAAAACGCATCAAAAATGCATTCAATCGTAGTCATCACTTCATCAGGTTTCGTCAAATCTAGAGGTCCTTAAAATGTTCCTTCGCGTACTGTTCGCATGCCTGCAGTCATCCGAGTCAGCAGCGGAGACTTTGGAGCCAAGTAGGAAAAGGGGGAGAGAGAGAGAGATGAAAAGCCTGACCTTTGCCGGTTTGCCAACCTTCTGCCCGATGACTTTCCATTTGTTGGACTCGTATTCCTTGATCGCGTCTCTGAGTGCTATGGACTATACAATCCTCAGCATTAGGTTGAAGCAAGGGATTTGAAAGTTGCCAGGGTTTTACCTCATCTTCAGCAAACTCGGCATAATGCATGTCCTGTATGCGGGGTTAACGACAAAGTTCTTGTCCGTTTGGAATCCGGGGCTAATGCGCGTTACCTTATACCAATGCTTCTTTACGCTTCCCTCAGTGCGAGTGGGGAAAGTCTGCGACAGGATGCAATTAACATGTGACAGTCAACCGGTGGGATGCGGCGTCAAAACGTACCTTGGCAATTTCACTCCAGCTGCGACCAGCATCGCGCATCGTCTTCAGGCGCTGCTCTTCCTCAGCCGTCCATGGAGTATTTGTCCGGCCCTTCTTTCGAGGGGTGACCTCAGGCGCCCCGCCGCCATGGTCTGGCGCGAGGTCCCCCGGCGCAGTGGTGGACATTGGAGCCGCCATGTTCGTCGCAGCTGTGGACTGAGGGGAAGCACGGCGTTTACGTGGATTTGAGGGAGGGATCTGAGGTTGGGGCATAGGAATGCCCTCGAACGTTGGCACTTGTTGATGAAAAGGATGGATTGGTTGCTGTGCTAGCAGTTGAGTTGGAGGGTTGACAGGTGCGGATGTTTTGATACGTTTATTGGTAGGAGGGGACCTGGACCAAAACAAATGGAAAGTAGAGGTACCAGCGTTAGTGAATGAACGAGAACCAAGTAAGTAGAGGGTGAATCAGATAAAAGGTTGCGAGCGTATGGAAAGAGAAGAAAGAATCTCGTTTGCAGGTCACATGTGAAGGAAAGAGGGACCACTAGTCGAGAAAATGAACCACAGAAAGCATATGACCCCAGGTATCTATATATAAATATATATTGGAGTAACAAAAAGAAACGAAATGGAAAAAGGAAATTAAAAAATAAAAAATAACGGAAGACGGGCCCCTTCGTTGCTTGAGCACTACCAAGGCCTCCAGGGAGGTGGGGAGGACGAGAACGAACTTACGACATGGTGGACGGTACGCAGTATTCCCAATCACGCTGCGCCGATTCATCTGTGGATACACATGCATATGAGATTAGCAAATCTGCTTCTCAATAAGATGCCGTGGAGATTGGCCTGTCAAGTCGAGGGAAGCGAGATTCTGGTTACACCAAACAATGACGATGACACGGGCGCATCCCACAGCGTGGCAGTAGCGCCGCGGGACAAGGAAATAGAATGACACGAGAAAGTAGGGCAGTAGAAGGAGAGTAGTTATTCAAGATAAAATATCAGAGCAAGAAGAGAAATCTCATGTTACGTGCATGTAGGTAGATGGGCGAAAGCGGTGGACATCGGGGTGGGATGAAGTGGGAAAAAGGGCCAGAATGGATTGGAAGAGATAAAAGAGAGGGGTATAGAATATAAACAGGTTTAGGCACAGTCACAAGAAGACCTTTCGAGCATATTAGTAGTAGTACTAGGATACAAAGGCTGGAAATAGTACGATGGAGGAGCAGGAGGAGGAGAGGGAGGAGGAGGAGTACTGGAAGAACGATGATAAGACGATCAGGTCAGGACAAGTGGAGAATGGAGAGTAGTAGGCTTACTGGTCGAAGTTCATGATCAAGCTGATGACGAGATACTCTCCTCGACGAGACGGACGGTAGGTAGAGGTCGGTTGAGTTACATGGAAGAGTCAAAAGAGCGAGGTAAATGGGAGAAGGGAGAATAAAAATAAAACATGAGTGAGAGAGAGAGGGAAGGGAAGAGAGGTAAAGTAGGAGCGAGGGAAGAGGGAGTTGAGGAGAAGAGCCCAAGAGCAGGAGATAAGTCAGTAACCTACCTAAGGGCGCCGTAGTCTACAGGTGAATGGATACGTAGAATGTTCGTCTTAGTAAACTAAAACCGTCCATGAGGGGAAGCTCCCATCCCGCTACCTCCGTCTTTGCTTGCTTTTTCCGCGCTTCGACATCGACGATGAAGATTACCTTATTCCATCAAGGACTACTCCGTAACTACATCTTGAGTCTGTTCGCTCTGATTCTACCCATCACACCGGGGCATGTCTTCTTTCGTTGTTTGATGCCAAAAGGATGAATCACCGACGGAAACTATAATAATAACTGTAGTGGTGATAATCATAATAATCGATGGCAACAGGGAATTCTCCGGACAGTCGCGCCTATTCAGCATTCAGCCCTGGCATAAATCTGCTATCTCCACGGTCCAAGTACGACGGCACTGCAGAAACCCCCCATCTTCAGCATATCGTATCGATATCGATCTCCCGGGTGACGAGTCCGGTCTAGACACTACTAGTCATAGTGGCGGGAACCCGTCGGTCCATAGAGATCGCAGCTCCAGGTCAACCTGGCGAGAATGCAGTGTCCAAGACAACCTAAGCCAACGAATCTGACAAGGTCCGAGAGACGCCAGTGGCATCCGGTGACCGCGGCAGACCGAGCTCAATGGACCGCTTGGCGACCAAAAGAACGAAAGAGAAATGATAATAATGATAAAGAATCACAGCATGATCTTGACGGTGAAAACCGACCGAAATAATAACTGAACAATTTCAAAATAGAAGATAAATAAACAAACGCCCTCAACTGAAGAAATGAAAAGAAAAAGCAAAAAAAAGAGAGGGGAAAATAAAATCCAAATAAAATGGATGGAGTGTTTTGCTCCTCCAATGCGGGAAGCGGGGTAAGTCAATCATCAATGGGCTTCCCGTCGTCATTTCTCCCTCTCGCTTTTACCCATCGCAGACTTCTGCAGGGCTCGGACTATGCCTGGCTGTCTTTGTTATCTACTCTCCCGATCGGATCTCAAATCCAATATCGACGAGATTAAATTCGGGATTTCATGAAAAATCTTGCCTAGTCATCTCCTACGAAGTATAGTTACCAAAACAATATTGAAATGGTATCCACCTATTTTCCCCACCTTAACCGTACTAAGGTGTCCAGGTACTGTCTTCTTATCTAGGTAACTTACTCCTTCAGTATGAGCCACTGGATAACCCGAATGCATCCATGTTTGTTCTTCTATTGGGGAATATTCTGGACAGGTAGTCGCTAGTTGTAAAGCTTCGATTTACGAATGCGTTTTGCTTTTCTTTGGTTACGGATTGGATGTCTCGGTTGATGATGTGGTATATATACCCCAAGTTAGAACATCATTAGGTCTGTGGATTTTAGAAGTCTCTTCCAAGGACCCAGTCAAAATTACTCAGGACACGTAGAGGAGATGATAATGATGACTATGATGGTGACTCTTCTTGACATGGTTTTGTACCACATCCTGCATTATATTTAACGATCGAAGCGTAAAGCAACAGCAGGTCCTTTCCCATCTCGTGCTGGTTATATACCCGTATCTTTGCCTCTTCTCACCATACCTATAATCTACATCCCACTCGGCATCTTTGACTACGTCAACAGCCGACTCGTATGTACATAGTCAAGGCCGAAAGCAAAGGCCATCACGTTATTGCATGGAATTCCAGCACCACCAAAGCACGGGTTGACGTCATCCGCAGCTCACGTGATTAGACACGCGGCCCCAGCTTCGAGTGGATCCCGTGAGCGGGAGCTCCCTTGATAGCGAAAGCTGACCTGTACGACAAGCTTCGACGAACAACCTGACCGCCCTTCAATCCCTTGGGTTGACAGTGCCAATACCGCCCGGTGCTACTTAATTGACCACGTTGTCACGTCTCGATCGATATCGGCCCTTTCACCCTCACGTTTCCCGCAAACGGAGGCCACCCTGTGTGCCTTGACAGTCCTCTTGTCGGCTGTACAGTCTTCCATGGTCCTTACTCTAGACAGGGATAGCTCAGCAGTCTGTTTATAGCGTCTGCTTCGACGTCAGGAAGCCAAAGGGGCTAGTCATTTTAGACCACTCGGTCGACTCATCATGAAGATCACTTTCTTTTTTCAACTATTGGCCGATCTCGCCCATATCTCGTCGAAAGGCATCCTGATATGGGCCATCCATCGCAACAAAAGCGCCGAAGGTATGTCGCGCTCCTGAAGAGATAAAGAAGGCGAGAGTTAACCAGATGTTTCTTCGTCCAGGCGTTTCGCTCCTCACTCAGATCCTCTACGCCCTCGTCTTCATCACTCGGTATCTTGACCTGGTTCGGCCCCGCAACTGGAAGGAGCCTTATCTTGTGTTCTTCAAGCTCTTCTACATCGTATCTTCGTTCTACATTATCTATATAATGATGAGGATCTTCCCTCGGACACGCGAACGAGAGCGAGCGTGGAAGTTGGCCCTGGGGTCGATGGCTGTGGCTTTGGTTTTGGCGCCCATACTCAACCCCATCTTTTATGGGAAATACCCCGATCATGTGTTCACGGAGGTAAGTCGAAAAAGGAAACTGTTTGTCTCGTGACCACCCCAGCTGACCCGATGGCGCTTCTCTGCAATATGTAGATGTGCTGGAATTTCTCGATCGTGCTGGAATCCGTCTGCGTGCTTCCCCAACTCTTGCTCCTACGGCAGACGACCGTACCCACCGTGATCAACTCTTTCTACCTGCTCACGTTAGGATCCTATCGGGGATTCTACATCTTGAAATGGCTCGTGCAGGGATTTGGTCCTGAGCACCGGTGGGACCGGATTGCGGACGTGTTCGGGGTCGTCCAGACGGCCTTTTATATCGATTTCGCGTGGGTGTATTACACGCGGCAACGGGTTAAGTTGCGCAACGGTGGAGTCGTCGACTCCGAAGACTTTCGAAACAGCTGGTTGCTGAACAAAGTCTTGAACTTCAGACAACGAAGGAGTACCGACGAAGAGCAACACCTCCGCGAAGAAGAGGCCGACGACTTGAGAGACGGGGACGGGGAGGGTGCCGGGAACAACCGCTGGGGAGCGAGAGGGATCTCTATCTCGGCGGACGACACCCTAGAGGACCATCGTCCGCCACCCAAGCAACCCGGAACACACAAAGGAAACGATAGCGAGATGGAAGGATTTTTGGAGGAAGAGGAGGATCGCCCAGGGGATCATGGCGACAATGTGTGGACACACTCTCCAACCCAGGGCCGGTAAAGCCGTGGTTCAATCCGGGCATCAGTCCGTCCCCGATGGCTCAATTTATCCCGTATATAGAAGTGATATTTGTCGATCGGATGGAGGGCCTGGACGTTTTGTGGTTATTTTAAAGTTTTGTTAAATGTTCCACTTGAGTTGATGATATTCTCGCGGTGTCCCCCTTTGTTTTGAAATGGATATCAATTTCAAATACTGAAAGTCAAGAGTCTCCAGACGCAACGGGCCAGGCTGCCCTGGAAGTCGATCCTTCCCCTTTCGAGGCGCCAGAGGCAGCCCTGCCGTGGCTCCGCTAAACCCAAAGCGGACAAGCTTGTGGGAATGGTTCGATCATTCCGAGTCGTGGGGATGAGCGGAGTTAAGAGAGTTGGGACTTTGGAGAGTTCCTTCGTTGTCTGGAAGGGGAGAAAGAAGATCAGCATGATAAGCCGAAGTTTCTAGAGACAAACACAGGCCAGAGAGAGTGTGTGTATGGGAGAGTGAGAGTCAGA